AGTCGACTCCAAAGACAGCCGGTATGGCATCACATCGGCTAGTCGCAATCCAGAGAGCTGCTATGAGCGCACAGCATTCGGCAACAAAGGCGGAGGCGCCGCATGTTGCCAGGAAGAGTGGCGGAACCTCGCCTGACACGATTCCGACTGCAAGCGAGCCGGGCTGCACAAAGACGCAAGCCCATCCGCAGAGTGCGGGCTTGCCCTCGCGGGCAGGCGTGTAGGAACCGTCGGTGTAGCAGTGGAGGTCACCCCCAACAAGATCGGCTTGAAACGGTCTCGAAGCAGCCAATTTGCTGACATCTTGTGCGGTGGCGTGGCCCTGCATGGCCGTGACTGGCGCGAGCTCAAAAGGGTGTGCGAGAAGACCGCGCAGGTCAGCGGCGCCAAAATCAAGACACAAGGGACCCAAGTGCAGGAGGCCGACAGGGGCCAACCCACCTATGACACCAAGAAGGCGCGCAGAGGGGGGCGGCAGGATCCAGAGGGGCGCATCCCAAAAGCAGGTGGCGGCTGAACAGCCCTCACGGTCTGGCTGAAGGAGGTGCTGAAGGCACAAGGTGCGGGGTCGGGGTAGCATCACACGGGAGCCCTCGGGGCACACAGCTGCTTGAGAGGGCCCTGGGTTTTGATGAGCCACAGGTGAACGACTCGCTCGGCGCTCAAGAAGGGTCTCAAGGAGTGTCGAGGCGAGAAAGAAAGCCGGGCAAGCTGCAGAGCGGACGCTCTCCTCCAAAAGGGTGCAAAGCGGCCCTAGGTTACATTGCCCTGAACTGTCAAGCCGTAGCTCCTCCCCGACATGAGCGTGAGGTATACCACGGAGAGGGGCGTGGGTGGGGTCCCTAGGCCTGTCATGAATCCTACAGGGTGTAGGGAGCGGTCGACCAAGTGGTCGTGCACGTAGAGGGCCATTGCATGCAACATCGTCGAGGGCGCTAGTAACAGGCAGGCGAGGGCTCTGAAGGCCGGAGGCACTGCTGCTGCCATGCTCTCGCACTCCCGCAATACAGGCTGGCTGGAGCACAAGGAGCAAGAGAACAAGCTGGAACGACAAGCGGGGTTGAGGCTGGGCAGCCGCATGCCCATGGCAAGCCCAGCCTGTATCACCAGCCGGGCGGATCCGGCTGGAGTTGCCGTCTGCCAAAGCGGAGACGGCACTTGGGGAGCAAGGGCCTCTTGTGCTGCCTGCATCGCTGTCGGGTGCAGCTTCAGTTTCCTTCAGAGGGCGAGCCACGTCGCCGTCCGTACCTGCAGGGCCGACTGCGGTGGAGACATCAGAAAGGGGTGCCACATTGTCAGCACGAGGCACCAAGGCAGCCTGAAAGACTTGACCCTCAAACGGAGCGCCCTCTTCCGCTGCAGGAGCCTCAGTGAGCACAACACACAGACCGAACGGCAAGCTGTCCGCAAATTGCGCCTCGGCATGCTGGGGGGATGGCCGTCCATTTTGGCAAGACAGCAAGCACCACCCCCCAAGAATCTCTCTGCCGTCTACCAAACACAGACTGTGTCCGGTCCCTTGGCGCCCCCAGTCACCAACAGAGTAGGCCGCAACGACCGTTCTGCAGGGAAATCCACAGAGGAAGGAATCAGTGGGTCGGGGCCGAGCCGGGGTAAGCTTGAGGTTGGCAGGGGCACAACCAATTGCTGCAGCAGCGTCGAGTCGGTAGGACGCAGCCCGTCCAGGTTGCAAGCAAAACAGCACAGGACCTGACGGGCAACAAAGATGGTACCAATCGGCAAGGAAGGGCGCCGGAAATGCAGGACCACTGGCCCAGGGCAGATGGGACTCGAGCTGGCCGCTCAGGGAAAAAAGCACTGAAGGCTCCGCTGTACGGGCGAGGAAGGTAACCGTCATCCCTGTTGTGGCGGCGATAGCTTCATCCGCAGCAAGTGGATCAGGCCGATTATCGACAAAGATGGCAACGGGGTCGTCGATAGTGAGCGAGGCGATTTGCAAGAGCTCCTGCACCCCGAGCCCTGGAAGACTACATGTCGGTTATAATGAGGAGGTTATCCTTTCGGAAAGAGTAGTCTTTTATAAGCTGCTTGGAGATATGTGGGTTAAGCTAAGTCACGTTGGCATTTGGGATGAAGCCCCAGCCGGAACTCGGTAAGGAATGGCAACAGATCGAACTTGCCGTCGGTCGGGCATGCCCAGAACATGTTGCGGATCGTTCGGCATGTACAGGAGATTGTGCGCTGCGTGGCCCGAAAAAACAAAAAAACGAGCACGGGTTTTGCATCCCACTAGTGGATTCAAAATTCCCGTACTCGTGGCATATTTGCTCATATAGGTTTAATTGGTTCAGTCCTGAGGATATGGATGTGTGTACATATATATATATATATATATATAGGTGAGCGGGTGTGTGTGTGTGTGTCAGAGTATAAGTTGTCCTTGCAGCTTTCAGTATAAGGGGGTTCTGTTTCGGTCGATATGCCCATGACATGTTTTTCTTGAATCATACCGAGGCAACCTGATGCTGTTATTCGCACCAGATATCTAGTCCAGTTTGAAGATCGAGGCCTGCACATATTTCGGCCAGATAGTCCGCCGAGCTGTGAAACAAGGGCAAGCAAGCCACATGTGAGTTTATCGAGCCTGATACGGCATCTCCGGTGCTGGCTGGTTGTGTTGTCCGGTGCCTTTGCTTAAGGCTCGGGGTAACGATGGACATTGGAGTTGTGGTAATCAGAGTGGGCATGCTGGGGCCGTTGAATCTAGCATAAATGCCCGTAGCAGCATCGTGGTGGTAGTATGAGCATACTCCCACATATGGCTTTGTATTCCTGGCTTGTAACTGAATACAGCTGCACGAATAAGAGATGCGCATAGTGAGCCAGAACGCTTTGTTGTTCAGGCAGGCTGGGACAACCAGTGCAGTGCATATGTTGCGCAGACTGAAGCAAGACCTGGATGCGTCTCCTTAATTCTCAGATGTGCATTAGAATGCAAGCGATTGTGTCGCCATTCTGTCCGAGGTGTAGGACACTGACGTAGCCAGGGGACATCTTTCGCGAGCATTTGATCCGAGAGCCCAATTATAGCTCTCGCACAGATGCAGCAAGCAGCTGCAAAATTACCGATGTATCATGCGCAAATCGAGGGCACGTATGTAGGTTGGTAAGCGATGGTAGAAACCAGGGTTCATATGGGTACATGCAGGTGTTTTTCTGCATGCGATGTCAATCTGTAGACTGGCCATGGTCGGATCCATGCAAGGCCCGGGCATGACACCGTTTGTTCGTTTCAGAATCCAGCTTCATGCAGTGGACAAGGAGGTAGACTAGTCTTAGACAATGTTTGAAAGAACACACGTACCGTGGATGGCAGGCTGTGGTTTCGGTGCGTGTGGCGGGATGAGATATGGCCAGATGCCCAGCATATCTGCAGAGTGTAAGAGTGCAGCTGGTGTCTGCGACATTCAATCCGAATTTTCGTTTTGCACATTTAATGGTTCCAAGGCGGATGATAAAGATGAGGGATGTATATCCTAGGTCAGCCTCTCACTCGAGAGGTTCGGTCCATCATGAAGATCATCCAAATTTAGTAGCTTCGGGGCGGCAGTCAACATGAGTTTTTGACTTCACAATGCTCAGTGTACCGTATGCTTCTAGATGGAAAGCTCAATTCGGATATCAACCTTGCTGTGCGGGCTGTTTGGGTACATAAATGTGCTTAGCACGTCATTCTTTTGGTTGGCCCAGGTAAGGACCGGTCGATCTACGATCGAGAACCTGTTCGTGGAACAAGAAACAGGTGCGCCCACCCCTGCCTCAGTGATCTCTGCTGGGTCCACTTGAGCCGGTGCTTTGATTGAGTAGTCCCATTTATTTTGCATCTGGAGTCAGTGGTAGATCAGTGCTTTTGATGTTTGCTCGTGTATATGTATGTGTGCCACAGCATTTTGCTTGGCCCAGATTCACGACCGACCAGGGGCATCAAATTTGACCTGTCCTGTGTGCCGACAGTTTAGATCTTTCTGCGTACTTAGTGAGATCAAGATAGAAAAGGCGGAGTTCCAAGATAGGATGTGGAAAGTTCCCAACATAATAGTGCAGCATGCGCCATTAATGGATTTCTCGCGCATTGGTTACTGGGACATATATATAGGGGCTCTGCGACCAATATTGCTTGGAGGCCATGACATCCCTCCCATCAGACTTTGAAGAGCCTCCTCTCGACTTTGGGCCAGAGGCAATTCGCATCTCAAAGGCTTTGCAGGCGGAGGATTCAATTCAGCATGACCCTTGGCCTTCAGTTGTGGTCTGGGCTTTGGAGCTTGAGCCTGGCGGTTTGAGCCAAATAACCAAATTTTCTATACCCATAACCCCAAAAGCCCAATCTGTAAACCATAATTTACCTTGTAAGTATATGTATATCTCAGACCCCATGACCTTGTTAAGCCTATATTTAACCCTGTAAATCCTAAGCCCAAAATCGTCAATACTGTAATCGCTGAACTCTAAAGACCCTAAAGCTTCAGAGCCCCAACCCTAATTTGCAGGACAGGGTATGCTCTTCTATTAAGCTTTAGGAGTTTTGTGGATTTCAGAGGCCCGAAAGATTTCAGCTTCCAGTCTGGCAGGCTCCGGTGTTTCTTTAAACACAGGTTTTACTGCAGGGATTCTTGGGTTTACGATTTCGGTGATCATATGAGAGAATTATGATACAGAGAATGTGCGAGAGCTTTAAGCCCACGACAAGCATGCACTGAAAACAGCCCAACTTCCCGAAGACCTACTAGCTGAAGCTTCAACCAATCTGTAGCATACTAGTCCCATTATAACAGGCCAGCTAACACTGGGCCACTTGTCTAGTATAATGGTACATCGGAAGGAACCGGGTAGGACGATTAACACCAAGGCATCCTTAAGAGTTTTACTGCTGTTCGGTATGTCAGTTCGATATGTCTAGATGATTCTGCAAATCCGTTGTGTAGCTCAGAACTAGTTACACCAAGATCTTGATTGTGTATTACATGTGACCAGCCCAGATGGGATTCAACCTCTTGATTGACAGAAGTGGGAAACTGCTCATGAAGAAGAAAGCGGTCTGCAAAAAGGACCTGACTGTTAACAACCGAGCCCCGGGGCTACAATATTTATTTGTTTCGAGTCGGGTCTTTGAGCGAAGCCTTTGTAGGGGTTGAAGTGTGCTTGTTTGTGAGTGTAGGCTGCGGCGTCTGCTGTAGCTGGCCAGGTTCTCGCAGCTGTCATGACGGCCTCTGGCAAACGTCGCAGATACTCAGCTCACGTCTTTGCGCACGCTATCCTTCATTGGTACAGTACTACCAGACAGATGCCTAGGGGAATCAGCCACAATTGTGCTTCGGTCCGGGACTGGGCATTGCGTACTGGCACGGCATTGCGCAAGCTTGCATCTTTGCTGTTCTATATGAGCTAGGGGCTAGGGATGTCCTGGAATATCTATCCTTGTATTGCAATATATGGAGAATGCAAGTTCTGCACCCAGGCTACCAAAATGAAGGAATTGTGCAGGCGCACCGGGAAGTCGCACGACAAAGCTCTTGCTGAACTTAAGCAAGAAGTACTACCTTATCTTCCTTCCCCGAAGGGGAAGCCCGAAGATGAGGACCCACGTTTATAATCAAGATAAGAAATCCTGAAAACCCACTGTCCTGAAATCCTGCTGTGTTGGAGGAGGATACTGATGCCTCCGATTCCGATGCTTCTTCGGACGAGGAGTACCCAGTCTCGAGCCAGGTCGAGGTGGATAGCCTTAGCACTTTGAGCACTTTGGAGAGTTTGGTGACTCCGGCTTCTCAGCTTCGACACTATTCCAGGATAGGCTTGGAGTGCTGTATGATAACTGTCGATTTTTTCTTGAATGGTATGGGTTCATATCTGAGGCTCGGAAGGCTCCTACAGCTCCTTTGGAAACCCCGCCCAAAGTGGAGAAGTTGGCCCAGCTGCAGACTCTCGGTGGGGTGTCTAGGGTCTCTGGGATAGGCAGGTGGTGTTGTGCTTACAGTATGCAACTGAAATTAAGGTACATATAGCGAATAGCCCGATAGCCCACGATTGTGCATGTACATTGGCTGCTGCTCCTTAAGGAGCATTATTGCTGGTGTCAAGAAGTCTTCGGCAGCAGAGCAGGCAGAGCAGCCAAAGGATCGTTTGGGATCAATCGTGGCCAAGCTGCAGGCTGGCCGGAGCCCGGTGCCGGCCTCCAACAGGTTCGTTCTGCCGCCCAAAGCATCATGTCTTAACGCGGTGTGTCCATGAAACAACAAAACTTTTATAAGTTCGTCTGCGCCGTTCTGGTTGTAGTTGCATGTAAGGTACTGGAGAGCCTCCAGAATCTGACAAGGGAGCCGACACCCTTCCTTCCGAAGAAGCAGTGCCTAGACCTAACTCTGCAAAGAATGAGGCTCATGTTTGTATGTGTGGGGTTGATGGGTTTTTATATCTAGTTTTCGATCTTAACTGAGGTACAAGAATCAGGATTTGGATAGTGGTGATGAGGACGAGGCTGCGGAGGATGCCGCTAACGCTGCTTCTGGGAAAAGAAAGTGCAACCCTAAGAAGAGCAAGCGGAAATCTAGCAAGCGGAAACCTAGCAAGCGTGGCAAAGGCAAGGGAAAGCAGGCCAGCTCGAGCAAGGATGGAACCAAGAGCAAGAGCAATAAGAGCAACGAGGGGAATGAGGAGCCCGATACCAAGTACAAGCCCGGTAGCTTCAGGGAGGAGCGCTTCAAGTTCATTTACGAGATGATGGAGGAAAAGGGTATTCCCTTCAAGGAGGCTTCTAAGCTATGGGTTCCTAGTGCTCGTCGGTGGTCTTTGCTGGAAGGATTGCCCAAAAAGGAGCTCCAGCGGAGGCGGTTTGTGCCTGCGATGAACCCCAGGTCGAAGAAATCGAAGACAGTGCCTCAGCCGGCGTAATATCTAATCTAATCATCCATCCACATAGGGTCCCCCTGAGCTACAACAAGAGCTTTGCACAATCGGCTGTTGCAAGACCCTTTTGCAAGGGCAATTTTCCCATAATTTATGCAATCCTGATTCTTTGTTCGGGCCTGAGTGTGGATATTGCCACTCCTAAGCCTGAGCTGCATGTTGCATCAACACTAGTGTATGCTGTACGTCGGCAGCTTGAATTACTCTCCGACCCAGAACAGACTCGGCATGTGGTTTCGAGGACAATATTGTGTGGGCGAGTGTTCTCTCATATCTGATTTGCTGGAGCGCGCAGTGCAAGCAACTACATCAACTGTTGCCTGCCTCCTACAGTGGTTCAAGTTTGTTGATTGCAAACTTTGCTGGTGCCCTGGTGTAGCTTTCGTAGCATGGTTGTGGCAGAGTTGTTACAATGGAGGGCCCGGCTCCCCTTGGTTCTCCTTTGTGTTTTGTTGAGCTTCCACCCGCGCCTGCATCACACACAGGACCGAGTATCTTTCAAGTGCCGACCAGTTGTACAACTTCGGTAATGCCAAACCCAACCGCTGCAAGCCGTTGCATTCAGCAGGATTTCGACTTCGTCGAGCTGTTCTGTGGAGGTGCAGAAGTCAGCAGCAGTCTTCGGCGAGTTGCTTTCATGAATACAGTGTGCTGTAATGGTTTGTGTTCTGGCTTGTGCCACTGTGTTGCACCCTTGGGCTTGGCAGTTTAAGGACGGCTTGGATGGAGCTTCAATGGATATTCTGGATAATCCCCGCCGGTATGACCTGACTGGAGAGGTAGGCTTTGCTCTTGCCTTGAATGCTATGCTTCGTTTGCGACCTGGCGGTGTGGTCGTCGTTGGGCTTTGCTGTGAAAGCTTCAGTGTTATGCGGCTTGGATCCACCGATGCTAGTTGTTTGCTTTGACTTCTGATCACAAGTGTTTGTTTCTGCGCCAGCTGAGGAGCCGGGCGGTTTCCGGACGTTCCGTGTTTCAGCCTGAAGGAAACAAGGGTTACGAGTTTGTGGCTGCTGGGAACCTCCTCCTGGTCCGAACAATGATGCTTCTTCTTGTTGCTGCCTGCCGGGGCTGTCGCTTCTTACTAGAGCAGCCTGCCCAGTCCTGCCTCCCCTTACATCCCCGGTGGCATTGGTTTGTGGACCGAGTTTGTGTTGCTTTGAGTGGAGATCAGAAGTTGTGCTTTTTCGGTTGATCGAAGCAAGAACTAGAACTATAGTTCCACATATGTCATAAGGGCTGCTACTCAGAAGGGTTGTTTTCCTGCAAAGCAACATCCGAGACTTGTCTGAGGTTTTCCGGGGCAGCTGGTATATGGGCAAATTCGGGGGCCCTACGCCGAAGCGCCACATGGGCTGGAGCAATGATGAACAGTTTATGCAAGACCTTATGGCTAGGGGAGGTTATTTGAGTGTTGCTGAACGCAAAGAGATCGGTGCCGCCCAACTTGTCCAGAGGGGCAAGAATAGAGGAGGCATGCCTACATTCACTGGGGCGAAACAGCTGAAGAAGAGCCAGAGTTTAGTCAGCACTGATGCTTTATGTTTGGTGCCTCGAGGATCTCTTCTATTCTAGAACCTAGATCTAGTGCCAAATGTCGGCCGCTTCAGGAGATACACACCATCCTTCGGCAACAACATTGCGGATATTTTTCGTAAGAGGCAGGGAGCTGCTTTCCTGCAACCGAGCCATCAATCTGAAAGAGAGATAGTGACAGTGTAAGACTGAGACAGCGACAGAGAGAGAGAGAGAGAGGGAGAGAGAGAGAGAGAGAGAGAGAGAGAGCGAGAGCGAGAGAGAGAGAGAGAGAGAGAGAGAGAGAGAGAGAGAGAGAGAGAGAGAGAGAGAGAGAGAGAGAGAGAGAGAGAGAGAGAGAGAGAGAGAGGGAAAACGAGAGAGAGAGAGAGAGCGTGCATGCGTGCATGTGTGCATGGCGTGTGTGGGCATATGTGTGTGTGTGTGTGTGTGGGAGAGAGACCGTGCATGCAAATTCTGGTTATGTGAACCGCTTAGGCAGTTCCGGGGCCCAAGAACCCATTGCCGATTGATTGGCGCCGATCTGATTACGAACTCTTTTGCCAGTACCTGCCTTCAATCAAAGATGATCTTTGCACAGATGCTACTTGCATGAAATATTATAGTTTCCGGAAACTTGCTGCACTCCTTCATTGGTGCGTGACACAGGCAGCAGCTTCTAATTGTATGTCACTAGAGTCACTAGAACATACTCGTCCCCAAACACGTTCCAATTTGAGGCAAACTTGGCCACTGTCATTCGCTATGTGGGTGGATGCCAAGATCTGGTTTGTCCAGGCCAGTGGGATTCTTGGTGTCTGCAAATTTCAGGACTCACCCATAATTGCCAGGTATGACCGAACCCTTGACCTTAACCCCTGAATCTCCGCCAACTTCCAAGCGATAGCCCCGAAACTAGCCCTTTCAAACAAGTTATAAGAGGTCAATCCGGGGAAGCGCTGGCTTAAGGTTGGGTTAGGATCTCGAAGTTTCGGGGATTCGGGACTGAGGCTCAGCTATTGAGGAGGTATATTATGTATGGACTTTAGGGGTTGCAGTGTTTGCAGTTTGATAAGACAGGGAACAATTTCAGCAACGAGAAATAGCTGTATATGTATATATACATATAGATGTAGAGATAACTGTATATAAATATGTGAGTATGTACATATATATATGTATATGTTTAGTAGGAACCAAAACAAGGTTTAAGGCTAAATGCGGTGTGGGGGTCCATAGTATGAGAGCATATTATAATAGGGGGTCCCTAGTTTTAAGAGCCATCTTGTCACTACAGTACTACAAGCAATCAGCCGACCCAGGATGTGTGTAGGAGTCGCCGGCTAATGTGGGGATTTTACGAAATAAGTGTGCAACCAGTTTCTGAGCCCAGGTGATGTATGTATGTATGTGCTATATGATAGATGGAGTTACTGGGGTTTGGTTAGGTAGTTAGGTTTCTATATGATAATGACTATTTATGCAAAATATCGATGGTCGATAGTTTTTTGTTCTTTAATTAATTAAATTCCCCTATGGATGCGGACTGAATCTCAGGAACCACTCATGCTGAAGGTTCGTCAGCAACGTGACTACGAGCTTCAGTTGGGCAGTTGCTAGGTCTCAAATACGCCATCCCTGCCACCCGGTCATAATCCAGCCCAGGCACATGTTGCGGGATCATGGTGGTCCACAGATGATGGCCGATATGCTGGCTGCAGTTTGCTCTTCTTTGCCTGTGCAGCTCTGAAGGGCTTGGGAATGTAGTTAATCGATGTTCTAGGGGCTAATACACTGTGTATGCTCGGGAACACTTATGAATGGTTTCAAAGCTAAAAAGAGCTGCTTATTGGTTTAGATGTGTACAGAGTACCTCTGTTTCCAGCCAGAACCACTGCGTGAAGTAGCGTTCTTTGCATGGTATCCAGCGTTCAAAGCGGGGTATCCAGCGTGAACCGCGTGATTCGTGATTTTCAGATATTTAAGGACCAATTTAGGATGTGAGCTGGTTCCTGGCCAATTCATGCCAATTAAGTGCTTTGGAGCAGCCGTGGCAGGCTATCAATCTGTGCAGCAAGAAATGGCCTATCATATGTTCGACTTCAAGCCAATCATAAGGCTTTTTCGTACTATTCGGGGGGTCAAAGATCAACCAGGGGATCCTGTTTCAGCGGAGCTTGAAAGGAGCATCGCCGCGCTGCCCACCAGAGACGAGCGCCGATTGTAAAAGAACCCTAAGACACCCTAACCCTTCAGCTAGAATTCATTCTTATACGAAACAGCATTACGTAGTAGTACACAGATCTTTCAATTTTACATTTCTCCTTTTTTCCTTCTCTCGGGGTTGGGGGGCTTCGGGGAGCGGAGGAGAAAGAAGCGACAGAGAAAGAGTGTAAGAGGAGAGAACCACGTTGTTGCACTTGCTGTCGTTCTGCCGCTAGGGCGCTACCTTAAACCCTAACCCTTAATCTAAAACTACACTAAACTCTAACCGTAGTAGCTAACTTACACTGAACTCTAACCCTAATCGCTAACCCTACACCCTAACCCTCAACCTAATCCTAACCCCGAACCCTAAACCCTAAAACTGCCGCGTGCCCGGCGGCTAAACCCTAAAACTGCCGGGTGCCAGGCGCAAACCTTAAAACCTTTAACCCTAAACCCTAATCCCTTATTAAATAATACATTATTGTTAACTAAATAACAATCTAAACCCTACACTAAACTCTGACCGTCATCATCGCCAACTTACACTGAGCGCTTATTTAGTCAGATTAATAACCCTAGGGTTTAGGGTTTAGGGTTTCGGGTTTAGGTTGACCCTAATCCTAAACCCTAGCCCTAAACCCTATAGGGTTTAGGCGCCGTACCGGCAGTTTTAAGGTTTAGGGTTAGGGTTTAGGCGCCGTACCGGCAGTTTAGGGTTTAGGCGCCGTACCAGCAGTTTTAGGGTTTAGGCGCCGTACCGGCAGTTCTAGGGTTTAGGGTTAGGGTTTAGTATTAGGCGATGTACCGGCAGTTGTAGGGTGTAGTGAAAGGTTTAAGGTTAAGGTTTACTCACCGGAGAACCGGCAGTTTTAGGGTTTAGGGCTAGGGATTAGTATTAGGCGATGTACCGACAGTTGTAGGGTTTAGTTTAAGGTTTCGGGTTCAGGTTTAAGCACCGGAGACCCGGCAGTTTTAGGGTTTAGGGTTAGGGTTTAGGCGCCGTACCGGCAGTTTAGGGTTTAGGTGCCGTACCGGCAGTTTTAGGGTTTGGGGTTAGGGTTTAGGCGCCGTGCCGGCAGTTTAGGGTTTAGGCGGCGTACCGGCAGTTTTAGGGTTTAGGGTTAGGGTTTAGTATTAGGCGATGTACCGGCAGTTGTAGGGTTTAGATTAAGGTTTAGGGTTAAGGTTTAGGCACCGGAGACCCGGCAGTTTTAGGGTTTAGGGTTAGGGTTTAGGCGCCGTACCGGCAGTTTAGGGTTTAGGCGCCGTACCGGCAGTTTTAGGGTTTAGGGTTAGGGTTTAGGCGCCGTACCGGCAGTTTAGGGTTTAGGCGCCGTACCGGCAGTTTTAGGGTTTAGGGTTAGGGTTTAGGCGCCGTACCGGCACTTTAGGGTTTAGGCGCCGTACCGGCAGTTTTAGGGTTTAGGCGCCGTACCGGCAGTTTTAGGGTTTAGGGTTAGGGTTTAGTATTAGGCGATGTACCGGCAGTTGTAGGGTGTAGTTTAAGGTTTAAGGTTAAGGTTTACTCACCGGAGAACCGGCAGTTTTAGGGTTTAGGGTTAGGGTTTAGTATTAGGCGATGTACCGACAGTTGTAGGGTTTTGTTTAAGGTTTCGGGTTCAGGTTTAGGCGGAGACCCGGCGGAGGGTTTAGGCGCCGTACCGGCAGTTTAGGGTTTTAGGGTTTAGGGTTAGGGTTTAGGCGCCGTACCGGCAGTTTAGGGTTTAGGCGCCGTACCGGCGCCGTACCGGCAGTTTTAGGGTTTAGGGTTAGGGTTTAGGCGCCGTACCGGCAGTTTGCCGTACCGGCGCCGTACCGGCAGTTTTAGGGTTTAGGGTTAGGGTTTAGTACTAGGCGATGTACCGGCAGTTGTAGGGTTTAGTTTAAGGTTTAGGCACCGGAGACCCGGCAGTTTTAGGGTTTAGGGTTAGGGTTTAGGCGCCGTACCGGCAGTTTAGGGTTTAGGCGCCGTACCGGCAGTTTTAGGGTTTAGGGTTAGGGTTTAGGCGCCGTACCGGCAGTTTAGGGTTTAGGCGCCGTACCGGCAGTTTTAAGGTTTAGGGTTAGGGTTTAGGCGCCGTACCGGCAGTTTAGGGTTTAGGCGCCGTACCGGCAGTTTTAGGGTTTAGGCGCCGTACCGACAGTTTTAGGGTTTAGGGTTAGGGTTTAGTGTTAGGCGATGTGCCGGCAGTTGTAGGGTTTAATAAGGCACCGGAGACCCGGCAGTTTTAGGGTTTAGGGTTAGGGTTTAGTATTAGGCGATGTACTGGCAGTTGTAGGGTTAAGTTTAAGGTTACGGGTTAAGGTTTAGGCACCGGAAACCCTGCAGTTTCAGGGTTTAGGGTTAGGGTTTAGGCGCCGTACCGGCAGTTTAGGGTTCAGGCGCCGTACCGGCAGTTTTAGGGTTTAGGCGCCGTGCCGGCAGTTTTAGGGTTTAGGGTTAAACCCTAAACCCTAAAACGCTTAACCCTAAACCTTGACATTTTGAAGCTTGGTTTGGTTTAAGTTAGCGATGTTAATAATGTTGTGCGAACGTTCGGTGATAGTAGTTTTATGCTGTGAATGAATGTACAACTGTGTATTTTCTTAATGTTATGGGATCCTAAGGGTGGCTGGGTGTCATGTCTATGCCGTAAACACAGCTCTACTAAACAACTGTTCGATCCGGAGCTGCTGAACCTTAAACCCTAAACCCTAGGCGCCGGGAGGCCAGGCCGGTGCCAGGAGGTCATAGGAGCTATATTTTGTGACACAGGAGCTTATTTTGTGACACAGGGCTATGTTTTGTGACACAGGAGCTATGCTTTGTGACACAGGAGCAACATTTTGTGACACAGGAGCTATATTTTGTGACACAGGGCTATGTTTTGTGACACAGGAGCTTATTTTGTGACACGGACGGACTCCTCACGTCACAAAATCGCAGGCCAGGCCGGGGCCAGGGCAGAGGGTCAGGGCCAGGGCCAGGGCCAGGAGCAATATTTTGTGATACGGACGGACTCCTCCCGTCACAAAATTGCAGGCCGGGGTCTGGAGGTTGCCGGTCGGCCCAGCTCGGCGGGAGCAGTTTGTGAAGCTTGTCTGTGTCTCAATCCGCATGCTTCGTTTTGATATGTGTGTTGTTTATACGGAGGGGGTTCCGGCATCACGAAAAGCATGGTTCCAGCATGGCCAAACCCAAGAACGGGGCGCTGACCCCCCCGTTCTTGGGTTTGGCCATGCTGGAACCATGCTTTTCGTGATGCCGGAGCCCTCTCCGTATAAACAACACACATATCAAAACGAAGCATGCGGATTGAGACACAGACAAGCTTCACAAACTGCTCCCGCCGAGCTGGGCCGACCGGCAACCTCCAAACCCCGTCCTGCAATTTTGTGACGGGAGGAGTCCGTCCGTGTCACAAAACATAGCTCCTATGACCTCCTGACCCCGGCCTGGCGTGCGATATTTTGTGACGTGAGGAGTCCGTCCGTGTCACAAAATAAGCTCCTGTGTCACAAAACATAGCCCTGTGTCACAAAACATATCTCCTGTGTCACAAAATATAGCTCCTATGACCTCCTGACCCCGGCTTGGCCTGCGATTTTGTGACGTGAGGAGTCCGTCCGTGTCACAAAATAAGCTCCTGTGTCACAAAACATAGCTCCTATGACCTCCTGACCCCGGCCTGGCGTGCGATATTTTGTGACGTGAGGAGCCCGTCCGTGTCACAAAATAAGCTCCTGTGTCACAAAACATAGCCCTGTGTCACAAAACATTGCTCCTGTGTCACAAAACATATCTCCTGTGTCACAAAATATGGCTCCTATGACCTCCTTACCCCGGCTTGGCCAGCGATTTTGTGACGTGAGGAGTCCGTCCGTGTCACAAAATAAGCTCCTGTGTCACAAAACATAGCCCTGTGTCACAAAATAAGCTCCTGTGTTACAAAACATAGCCCTGTGTCACAAAACATAGCTCCTGTGTCACAAAACATAGCTCCTGTGTCACAAGACATAGCGCCTATGACCTCCTGACCCCGGCCTGGCCTGCGATTTTGTGACGTGAGGAGTCTGTCCGTGTCACAAAATAAGCTCCTGTGTCACAAAACATAGCCCTGTGTCACAAAATAAGCTCCTGTGTCACAAAACATAGCTCCTGTGTCACAAAATAAGCTCCTGTGTCACAAAACATAGCCCTGTGTCACAAAATAAGCTCCTGTGTCACAAAACCTAGCTCTTGTGTCACAAAATATAACTCCTGTGTCAATCATCATCATAGCTCCTGTGTCCGAAGCTATTCAAACTGAAATTTTCAAGCTAATTTGATTTGTCAGTTTGTGGGGGTGGGGGCGGTGGGAGAAGGCGACCTCTTTTTCTCGCCAAAGCCAAAGCCCGAACACCAAACAGCTTCAGCAATTTTCGTCAATTGTTAGTTGTATTCAATTGCCTTTTGATACATGCAAGGGTATTTCTTGTTACTTTGCGAAACCATGCAAACCGGTGCCGGTCCCGGCGCCTAGGGTTTAGGGTTTAAGGTTCAGCAGCTCCGGATCGAACAGTTGTTTAGTAGAGCTGTGTTTACGGCATAGACATGACACCCAGCCACCCTTAGGATCCCATAACATTAAGAAAGTACACAGTTGCACATTCATTCACAGCATAAAACTACTATCACCGAACGTTCGCACAACATTATTAACATCGCTAACTTAAACCAAACCAAGCTTCAAAATGTCAAGGTTTAGGGTTAAGCGTTTTAGGGTTTAGGGTTTAACCCTAAACCCTAAAACTGCCGGCACGGCGCCTAAACCCTAAAACTGCCGGTACGGCGCCTGAACCCTAAACTGCCGGTACGGCGCCTAAACCCTAACCCTAAACCCTGAAACTGCAGGGTTTCCGGTGCATAAACCTTAACCCGTAACCTTAAACTAAACCCTACAAGTGCCGGTACATCGCCTAATACTAAACCCTAACCCTAAACCCTAAAACTGCCGGGTCTCCGGTGCCTTATTAAACCCTACAACTGCCGGTACATCGCCTAATACTAAACCCTAACCCTAAACCCTAAAACTGCCGGTACGGCGCCTAAACCCTAAAACTGCCGGTACGGCGCCTAAACCCTAAACTGCCGGTACCCTAACCCTAAACCTTAAAACTGCCGGTACGGCGCCGGTACGGCGCCTAAACCCTAAACTGCCGGTACGGCGCCTAAACCCTAACCGGGTCTCCGGTGCCTAAACCTGAACCCGAAACCTTAAACTAAACCCTACAACTGTCGGTACATCGCCTAATACTAATCCCTAACCCTAAACGCTAAAACTGCCGGTTCTCCGGTGAGTAAACCTTAACCTTAAACCTTAAACTACACCCTACAACTGCCGGTACATCGCCTAATACTGAACCCTAACCCTAAACCCTAAAACTGCCGGTACGGCGCCTAAACCCTAAAACTGCCGGTACGGCGCCTAAACCCTAAAGTGCCGGTACGGCGCCTAAACCCTAACCCTAAACCCTAAAACTGCCGGTACGGCGCCTAAACCCTATAGGGTTTAGGGCTAGGGTTTAGGATTAGGGTCAACCTAAACCCGAAACCCTAAACCCTAACCCTAAACCCTAGGGTTATTAATCTGACTAAATAAGCGCTCAGTGTAAGTTGGCGATGATGACGGTCAGAGTTTAGTGTAGGGTTTAGATTGTTATTTAGTTAACAATAATGTATTATTTAATAAGGGATTAGGGTTTAGGGTTAAAGGTTTTAAGGTTTGCGCCTGGCACCCGGCAGTTTTAGGGTTTAGCCGCCGGGCACGCGGCAGTTTTAGGGTTTAGGGTTCGGGGTTAGGATTAGGTTGAGGGTTAGGGTGTAGGGTTAGCGATTAGGGTTAGAGTTCAGTGTAAGTTAGCTACTACAGTTAGAGTTTAGTGTAGTTTTAGATTAAGGGTTAGGGTTTAAGGTAGCGCCCTAGCGGCAGAACGACAGCAAGTGCAACAACGTGGTTCTCTCCTCTTACACTCTTTCTCTGTCGCTTCTTTCTCCCCCGCTCCCCGAAGCCCCCCAACCCCGAGAGAAGGAAAAAAGGAGAAATGTAAAATTGAAAGATCTGTGTACTACTACGTAATGCTGTTTCGTATAAAAATGAATTCTAGCTGAAGGGTTAGGGTGTCTTAGGGTTCTTTTACAATCGGCGCTCGTCTCTGGTGGGCGGCGCGGCGATGCTCCTTTCAAGCTCCGCTGAAACAGGATCCCCTGGTTGATCTTTGACCCCCCGAATAGTACGAAAAAGCCTTTCATGCAAACCTCTGTTTACCCTGTGAATGAGGGGAATCTCGTGAAAGCTCCTGCCGTGAAAGAACCGTGAAATTCGTGAACTGCTTTGCTTTGTAGGTTTAGTGCAAAGCACAGCTGCCGAGAACAGGCCGTGAAAACCGTGAAGCTCAAATGCGCGAACCTCTTGAACACCGTGAAGCCGTGAAAACCGTGAAGCCGTGAAATCCGTGAAGCCGTGAAAACCGTGAAACCGTAAAACCGTGAACACAGTGAACATTGTGAAGTATGCACTCAAACCAGAGACAACCTAAAGGTCTAACCCAATAGTGTGTGTGTACATTGGCTATAACTTAAAGCTGAACCTGGAACCCCATAATGTATTTCAGTATACAGTCAGGGATCTTCGTGTCAAGCTGTGCTGGTCAAGCTGCCTAGATGGATGTGTGCATGTGCTCTAGGGCTTGTGCAGAACCGACTGCAATATCCCTGGTGCTGCTTGGTTCGGGCTCTAACTCTTCAGGTCACACTTTAGCTTTCTCCAGGAACAGACCAGGATCTGGTACTGGGGGTTTGAGCATGGCACCTGCTCAAAGCAAAGCTAGTTCGGCTTCGTCGGGAGCTGATGCGAAGTCCCGAAGGAAGGCGCTTGCAGATTCTTTCAAGCGTGAGAACGCCAAGAAGAAAGCTGCTAAGGAAGGGCGGTTCGACCTGTCAACCCCTTTGTTGGATGATGGGTCGTGCACTATCACCTTAGGTTCCCTTATGGAATCTGAGAACCTCGACTATGATCAAGCTGTGGAGGTGATGATGAAGTTTCGTTCCGAGGCTGTGCAGGAGCCTGCAAAGGCCGAGGAAGATGGTTGGCAGCTGCCAAAGCTGCCGAAGGTCAAGAAGCCTGCCGGCAAGTCAGCATCTGAAAAGACTGCATGTGTTACCCCGAGTAAAACTGCAGCCCCTGTGGATGCTGAGCCTGCTTCAAGAAAGCGCAAGAGTGTAGAGGAGACGGAGGAGCAAGCCGAGAATGCAGGCAAGCCAAGCAAGGCTTCAAAGGCAAAGGCCAAGGCTTCGGGGAAAGCCAAAGCAAAGGCTTCAGGCAAGAAGCCTCCTGCTGATGATCCCGAGGAGCCTCTGGAGGAAACCCCTGAGCCAGCCCCTAAGAAAAAAGCAAAGACAAAGAAGCCGGCTGATGCAACATCCTCAACAAGCAATGCCAAGCCAGCAAGCAGCACTAAGGAAAGCGAGCCCGAGGTCGATGCAGCAGAAGCGGAACCAGCCCCCAAGCCTAAGAAAGTCAAGAAAAGCAAGAAGAGTAAGAAGGGAAAGCGAGGCAATGGATCGAACAAACTTCGTAGACTCCAGGCCACAGCTACTTTGGGAGAAGAGGGTGAAGAGGAAGGACTTGAGAAGGATGAGGAGTTGGTTCCTGAGGGCACCAAGGGGCGCGAGGTGTACACAGATGAGGAGATTCGGGCTATGATCCAGGAGATCGACGACCAAATGGAGGAGCCTGAGGAGCAGGAGGAAGTGGATGGAAGCGACAAGCCCAAGCCCGAGCCTGCAAAGCCTGCGGTGCACCATCGGCGCACATCCAAGGGACCCCCCACCGAGCCTCCGACCAGCCCAACCCAAAAAGCCCCGCCACCCAAACCGGAGGCAGCAGCATGGCCCCATGATCGCCAGCCCACGGGACCCGAAGAGGAAGCCCTACATGGGGGTTGGTTTCTTGTCGATTAAATGATTTTGTTGGCTTTTGTTGCCTGTCCACTGATCGATGATGAATGGGCTGATTCGTGTTCGAAGCTGGCCAAATTAGGGGGTTGCATAATTCCAAGATAATGAACCCTAAAACTGCTGAACATGTTTCCTCCCACCTCTAGGAACCGTACGATAGTCGAACGAAAGTGTGCTAAAACCGGAGACTCAGCCTATATGCCACACCGCTATTTAACCTGTAAGGTCGTGCCTCTCGTTGGAGCTCGGGGAGAAGCAGCTTGGTATGGAGAACAAAGGACCTGATTATGACGACACTTTGGTGAATGGGTCTTCGGTGACTGAACTGATGGAGTCGCTTCTTGTCTGTGCTGGTGTTTTAAAGCGGCTTGTTCAGATTCTAGCAGCAAAGACAGTACAATTCCCACTTTTGAGGTCTCATGTGCAAATACAGCATCTCCGCTATGCAAGGTTGGGGGCATCGGCTTCCCAAGTCAGCAACAACAACGTCGAGCATGTCTTGGCTTTGGTGAACCAATTGCAGAAGCAGCTGCAAATGCAGCAGCATCGCGCGACCACGGAGGCCAAGGCCAAAGAAGATAAGGCAGCCTTGGCAGCAATCAAGGATACTGATCTTGATGGGCTCGATGGTGAGCCCTGTGAGGATGAGGAGCCTTGTGAAGATGAGCATAGTGAGGCCCAGGCTGATGCCGAGATGGTGGAGTCTGTTGAAAGTGATGTTTCTTCTCGTCGGGAAGCAAAGGCTGCGGCTCAGGCTAAGGAAGCTCAAAAGCCCGTGGCCACCCCGGTTCGGAGCTCTGAGCCTGTTGGGACTGCGGCCCTGCTTCAGAAGCTGCACTCTTCGAGAGCGTTAGGGGAGCATGGTTCAGCTGGATCGGCTTCCGGACCCCCGGCAGGACCTACGAAGGAAACCCCGGCCCCTGATCAGGCAACCCCAGCCCCAGCTGCCGATGAAGCCACGGTGAACAGTTCCACGCACAAACGAGAATACATGCGGCTTGTGCCTAGGCTGCATTGAAGTTAGAAACTTGATGGTTTGCGTTGGCTTGGCTTTAGTCTGGCCCACGATCGAATTGCAATCACTGTCTAAGAAGCGTCTTGTTGACAACGGGACGATCAACGCGACGGCGTACCCGTCAATGCACTCGTTGGCTTCTGGATCTATGAAGGAGCCCTATATATATATATATATATATATATATATATAGCTATATGTTTACAAACATGTATGTCACCCGAGGCTCATGTGCATGATTGGGGTTTTGGGCTTTCCTCTCAGGACAAAGGCGAGTTGCTCAAAAGGTGGGTATCGGCAGCCGAGAACTTGAGCGCATGTGAGCACCAGATTGTCGCCTCGAAACGGGCCAACTTACGCGGCACAAGGAAGGTCGCCCTTGTCAGCGTCAAGGACATGTCTCGAAAACCTTATAACTTCAGTGAGAGGCTTGGATTGCAACTAACGATTACAATCTGGCAAGACGCAGTATAATGATGACTCCGTACAAAAACTCGATCTCTCAGGAAGAAGATAGCGTACATCATCGCCCATCAGCAGGGCATCGAGGATCCTCAGCTGCAAATGGAATTTCCCGATGATGTTGATTCTGCCTTCATTCCAGGACAGAGACTGTCCGGGCGTGGTCGAGGAGACCAAATACTGGGTTACCATTGAGGAGAGCAAGACGGACACCGTGGACATTGGGTGGGGATCAAAACTCTAAAGTCTTTGTAGACCTGTACAATACTCCCACATACCATTCCTTAAAACACAAGTCACCTTTTAAATTAGTTTAAGACTAGGGGCCTTAGTCCCTTACTCTAGGTCCCTATTTACATATATACATATATATATATATATATATGTATAGGTGCTGCTAGCTGAAGCCTATTGAGGACTAATCTTGTCCGTAGGGATTGGATAGGCATGAAGAGCGGCTCACTGTCAATGCTACGCCTACTGGTGCCAATGCCTTCAACATCCTTGCCGGACCTTCGGACCCCGGCATGCTAGAGCGACCACGTGGTAATTCAGAAATGACCAAGCCTCTCTGTGGTGATGTCTTGAGAGCCTACGATTCCTACCGGGAGAACTTGGCTGCTGCAGCTGGTTTGTCTAGTGGAAGTGATTTGGAAGCACTAAATGCACAATACTGGATGCGGCTGTGAGCCACTGAGCTTTTGTCAAGAGTTACGAATATAAGGCAATCCAGGAGGCAATGGTGGTGCTCGATCGGTTGCAGCAGGATCTCGCCGTTCTGGACGCTCCTCGGTGGTTGGCAAGAATGCCAAGGTTCCGCTCAATGAAGAGGTGTTCCGAACCGATGCCGAGAAGCACGACAAGTGGAGTTTCTCACTTGCATTATCATTATGCTGGGGCCTAGGCTACAGTAGCAAGTGCTATCCCGAGGTTCGGAAATCAAGCGTGAGCTGGCATCTCTGTCCAGCGTGCTGATTGACATCCCACAAGATGATGATCTCAAGACCGAGCTCGAGCGATGCAACAAGCGCTTGAAAGGACTGGCCCTCAAGAGACTTGATTGCAATTTCGGTGACCTGAATACACACCTGAACTTGGAATCCAAGCAAGGTTCAAGACTGCCAAGACCGGTCCCGAGATGGAGCCGATTTGCAATGCTATCTGGAGTGTTGTTACCGAGCTACAATTAGTTGGTTGCTTCAATGATATACCGGACATGAGCCTGGAGTAGTTCCTTTCCCTCTCTATCCCAGGTGACCGAACTCAAGATTTTGCGAGGAAAGGCCAAGGGCCTCATCCAAGAACTGAAGAAGTGCGGGTGAGCAAGCGCGGGGTGCAGCGTCGATGTTCAGTACTGCGTATTATACAGCTTCGGGGAGTTGAACATTTTTATTTGTAGTTCGAGTTTACCCTTAAAACAATCTTTATACTGAGCATCGGTGCTTGAAGATCTCAGCTTGTGGGGGATCATGCTCTCCTACGAGAGCCACCAATCTTTGGAACACGGTGTGGCATGGCCTGCCCGTGAAAGCACCCACGAAAGCTGGGTGCCACATGTGTTTATCTGAAAGCTGAAAGCTAGAGCCTAGAGCTGTGTACTTCCAGGGGATTGAAAGTGTGGTGCGAAGAGAAAGCCACTCCAAGCCATTGCCTGCTCTACCTTTTGACTTGAAATCATAACCTTACAAACCTTAACCCCGGCTCCCATTAGAACCACGCAGGCGTGGAGCGAAGCGCGAAGACATCGAACACCGTGGGCAGGCTGGATCAAAGGAGCCTGGTTCTGCTCTGAGTTTCAGGGCAAGTTCGGGTTATAGGCATATAATGGTTGTCAATGTAAGGTTTAAGTTTAAGGCTCAGCATAGGCTTAGGGGTCTTGTAGATTAGGGTCTTAGCCTTAGCTTCAGAATTTCGGAGTTTCTTTTGGTCACTATGATAACCCCAACTACAAAAGATGAATGAAGGCAGTGGTCTACGTGACATCCCAAAAACCCAACTTAATGAAGTAGCCTTAAGTTCTTCAGTAGGCCCCTCCCAAATCCCATAAAACCCACGCTTGAAGAAAGGATCGCGGAGGCCATTTGCGAGGGCCAATCTACAATCACTTTGGGCTGTGAGCTGGGTGATTGGTCATGACATAGGAAAATTTTCTTATATAGTACATTAGGTTCTTCAGTTGTCTAGGGAGTATTGCTCAATATTGGTTGCACATCTCAGGCGAAATATACGCCAGCGACACCATCGCTGGATACCAAAGCAGGCCACTGCGAGAAACAGAGTTCCATCAACGACTACGATCGATAGGATGTGCTCATCCCTTCGAAATATCCTGGAAGAATACACCAGTTCTGCAAGAATCAAAATCCACCGGGGAGGGTATCGTGCAGATTCAACCATGGCCTGTCATCCTTCCAAGCAGCATTGCGACTTGATAGCAATGTAAAACTAAACTTGAAAGTTCTGTGTTTTGGTTCCTTTCGGATACTAATATTGATCTAACTTCGTTGTCATGTCTTGGTGTAGGCAAAGACACTGCTGTCTACTGGATATGGTGATGTTCTGGGTGCCCGGGAACACCTACAAGTTTATTGGGAGCAAATGGCCGAGAAGCTGCAGCTCATGCCAGACCAATCGCGCTGGAGCATTACCATTCCTTACTGTCTTTGGGGCGACGAAGGTACACTGAACAACTCGTCTTCGTGGATGTTTGGGACATTGCTACTTGCTGTGAACCTAATATTTTTTCAGTATTGGATTTCAACCCCTTAGGATATGCGTGTGTGTGTGTGTGTGTCTGTCTGTTTTGTGGGCTGGTACTGAGGATGTTCGATTTATCACCGTTCAGAACCAACAGTCGGGCATCGAGGTATATATTGTACTCTTTGCCTGTGAGTCATTACTGCTTCGATGATGAGGAGGGTCTGCACATCAATATTACTCTGCAGTCCATCCTACAAGAAATCGTCACCGACCTTAATGAGCTATCCACATCCGGACTCGAGGTTGGTGGGGAGGCTATGGGACTAGATCGACTAAACCCGTAACCCAATATCCTTAAGCCCTTATGCCCGAAGCCAAATTCAAACCAGTCAGAATGCTGTTGCTGTCAGGTCCTGTACTTCCATTGTGTGTCCTACAAAGGCGACTTGAAATATTTGGTACAGTCTCTCAATCTGGAGCGACATGCTGGGAAGGAGCAGGCGGGGTTCAAAACAAGGGGTTCAAAACCACACGTATGCATTCGGTTTAGGCTTGTCGCTTTTCGTTACAAATGGATACCCTGCAGATCTGCTTCCAATGTGCAGCCTCCAAAGGCAATGATGACTTCCAGTGCTGCTATACTGATGTAAGCATGTCAGCGAAATGGCGAGATGAGCCTGTGGGGCCTATGTGGGCATGTGAGCCTGCTATGAGTACCTTACATGAGTTCCATGATGACCTCATTGCGCTGGACCTGTTGCATGTCTTGCATCTAGGAGTGATGCGAGATTTAGTTGGAACCGGGTTCAAACTTCTCTGTCGCAACCGTGAGTTTTATTCTGGCACTTCGATTGACAAGCGTTTGGCACAGCTCACTGCTGAGCTGAAATCCTGGTGCAGATCGAATGGTGAACATTTGAGCTTAAGGAGGGTCCACAAGGGTACACTTCGTTGGCGAGGAGATATGTGCCCGGAGTTGAAGGCTAAGGGGTCGGACACATTACTATGTCTTCGATTCCTTACTCTAAAGCTCCAAGACCAAGCGCCGACCACGTACCCTGGCATCGTGGCTTGCGCTTGGGCGGCTACCCAATTTGTGGGTGTTTTATCGCATGGCTCTATATTCCTTACCGCACAAGAAAGCGAAACTGCATATGCGACTGGTATGTTGTTCATTCGTTCGTTTTTATGCTTGGCAAACGAAAGCCTGATGAACTCCGAGATGCTCTTCAAAACCCGCCCCAAATTGCATTACCTGCTGCATGTGGTGGAAGGGTTGCAGTCGAAAACTTGCATTCGCAACCCGTTCTTTGACTCGACGTTCATGGACGAAGATTGGGTAAAGCAGGCGTTGACTGTGAAGAAGAGAATGTCGTACCGCACATGCTCTCTCAATGTCCTGAAGCGGTTTGCTGTCGTGAACAAATCCACTTTGAATGCCCTGTATGAAAAAAGCCGAGTCTCGAGGTCTCCGCTGCAGCCGAGTGCTGCTGTTTGCAGGGGGAACCGGCCAGGGATAGGTTGCAGGTAAATATTAAGTTATATAATTGAACTCGGGCTTTTTGTGCAACCCCGAACCCGGACCCCCACTAACCTAGCATTTCATTGCGATGACTTGAGAGCCTGAACTACCTGAACCCGTACTTTCAACCCGAAGGCTTGGGAGGGTTTTAAAGGTTAGCAAGCATATGTGTTCTCGGTTTCCCTAATCCCTTATAGATATGATCAAAAATCACGTACCCTAGGATACGGTATTGATTATGTGAAGGCATACTGTCTTCGAAATCTGATCGAAGCACCGAAACCTGAAGTGGAAGTTCAATCCCAAAAACTGGCCGAGCCCTCAATTCCGAGCGACGACACCCTCAAGCCTAGTACTCAGTCTACGTGACATCACTTCTGATCGTTGATCTTTCTCTTTTACTCCCTGCCTCTCTCTACATTTATAAGTTATATAAATTGTTAGATGGACCTTAACGATAAATACATGTACGTACACACGTAGACATCTGTCTATATATATGTATATATGAGAGTATACATGTATATATATATATATATATATATATATATATATATATATATATATATATATATGCATGTGTTGGCACAGTAACCACAGCAGGTTTGTCTTTATGTGTGCATGTGTGTGAATCCACTGTACAGGTAAAAGTGGTATTGGTCTATCGGAAATCTTAATACCGGCTATAGGGGCTTGTCTAGGGGTGGGTTTGATTTTTTTGCTCAAGACGGTGTCCGCTCAAGACAAACGGTATGACATGCTTGCTCATGTCGACTCCAAGCTGAAGTTGCGACTTCATATCTTGAAGAAGCATTGCTGCCTGATGATGATCTTCAGATCTTTCAATGATGCTGAAATGAGCCATGTGGCTTATTTTCACCAATGCTTGATATAAATATTGCAAAAAAGAGGATCCCAACCATTTAAGTCACATATCGTCTTCCAGGGCATGGGGGGTGCCACAGCCGCGAAAACCCGGCCATCCCAATTCCACAGGTCACAGCAGATGACAGGGACTGCAAGGGAAGGCCTGGGAATAGCTAAGCACACCGCCCAACGCGCATCCGGTTGAGGCCAAACAGGAACAAGGTCCGGGAAGGTGCGGGCAGCAAGGACGCTGCGGCTCCTTTGCACAATCTCGAGAGCCTCGTCTGCCCGAAGGGGAAGGTACATGCTGACCGCAACCCTTTCGGGGGTGCACTCAGGCGTGAGGAGCAGGAATGCGATGTCGCAGAGGATGCCTGCAGCACTGCCATCAGACCCGTCTGGGGACGAGTCTTCGCCCAAGTCATCATCCCAGCGCCGGGAAGGACGCCTATAAGGCCAGGAAAGGCCCAGCCTCCGAGTTCCGGTCCTTAACGCAGCAAGACGCAATGCTTCGGGGAGCGAGGCACACACTGGCTCATCATGCTAGAAGTGCCTGGGCGCATGCATTCTTGCCGAGGCCTTCCATGCGCACAGCGTCAGGGCAAGCAGCGCAACGGTGGGTCCAGGTCGCCAACACCCAGGAGGCAAGTCAGGGGGACATCCTCCGGTGCAGAAGCCACGCACAAGACCGACACAGCTGGCGAACACAAGCAGGAGGAAAGAGGTGGAGCGGCCGTGGCCAAGCATCATTGTGCCCCGCGGAAGACAGCCCCTCCACATTGCAACTCGACTGCTCATGCTGTCACCAACGGCATTTCTGAAAGCGGCCTCAAGCAGCAGGCGCACTAATACAAGCGCGAACTGCAGGACATGGCGTCCGGTGTTGCCATGCAGCTCCCGGGTTAGAGGTCCCGCAGCAACGCGTGGAGAGCGGCTGCGGTTTCCGCCGGGAGTGTCTGACGAGGTTTCACTGTCATCCGAGCCTCCGTCTGATGAGGTGTGGGCATCGGTGGTATCCATGCTGTCGGGCTCCGAGGCTGATTCGGCATCGGTCAGGTGGTCGATGAAAACAAAATCAACCGTGATGCACAACCCATCGTAGAGCTCAAAGTAGGTGCCTTCAGGGGAGTCAACACCGACTGCCCCCGTGAAGGCAACGTGCATGCCCAAGGGGCAAATATGCGCGTACCGATCGGCGAGATCTTGCACCAGCAACCTGGAATCTTGTTCCAGGCCCCAAACGAGATCCTGTAGAATCGGCCTTTGATCATAGGCAACTGCAACAGGCACGGCGCCAGGACCTCGGTGCCGGGGTACTCTCGTTGTAGCAATAACAACTGCAGCCGACCCCCAGCCCCGTGCATCATGGTCTGTGACTGGCGGGCTGAGCGGCTTCAGTGCTATGTGGTGCGGGTCGTAATGCAAAGCCTCAGCAACAACAGAGCTCCTAATCGGGACATGCAGACTTTCGACATCCAGGCGCAAGGGGCGCTCATCAGACAGTAGCCAGATGGCTGGCGCATAGGAGAAGGGTAGCTGCGCGTGAACGTTCCAACGTTCCGCGCTGCGCAGCATCTGCTCCAACAGGAGCCCCCTTACAGGGTCCGGGTCGTAAGGGGAGATCTTCACGACAGCCCCGTCAAAAAGGCCGACCTGTTGTCCGGGCTGCAAAGCCCCTTCAAAGGTAGAAGTAGTGACATAGAGCCAGGCGCCGATGCCACAACCAGCGGCGGTCAGAAGCTCCTCTCGGGTGGGCCGGTCTGTCACCTGCTCGACAAACATCTTCCCACTCCAGCGCCGGCAATCGAAAAGCACAGCAACAAGGCCGTTAAACCATCGCGGCATCGCAATGAGCACAGCATACTCGTGGGAGGGCTGTGGCACTGCAGGAAAAACTCGGGGGAATCTCCTGCGGTCTTCGGGGTCCCGGACGGATTGGACCTCCCTGATGGCAAAGTCAAGCTCGCACGGCGTGCGGAGCGCCAAGACACTGCAGTCCGGCTTGTACCCTGGTGTCATGGCAACGAGGATGCCATGAATGAAGGCCGGCGGGGGAGGGGCCACAACCGGGACAGGTCGCGGCTGCCTCCAATCGGGCGGTGGTGGCCGGTCTGGGCTGCGGTCTCCGAGTGCGCGGGGGATAGCGCCTCCCAGGTACCTGTCTATCTGGCTGGGGACACCTGGTGCTCCCCCTGGCGGCTCAGCAGGCACACGGTGCTGGCGCACCCCACAGGTTTTGTCGCGAAGACCATCAGGGGTCGGGAATACGCTAGTCAACCAGAATCCCACATGATCAAAGGCCTTGGCGAGCGGGGCTATGGGCAGGCCCCACGCTGGTTGGCCGAGGGAGCTGAAGAGTGGCTCTAGGGAAGGACTAAACCCTATGGTGAACTCACGGCACCAAGACAGGGGTGGCATCCAACCTTTAGCAAGCGCACCCTGAGGCTCAGCTGGGAAAGAACCCCGAAAAGAACGGTCAGACGAGGGTGAGGGTCCCCTCGCGCCCTGCGGATGGGAGCAGGACCGCGTGCTCATATCATCGGTGAGGGGCTCCTCTTCAGCACCTTCGCAGTGGTCGTCTGCAGAATCATCCGAGTCCCCCGGCTCAGAGGAAGAAGAAAACACGTCAAACTCCGGGTCTGTTGCGTCAACCCTTTGAAAGCCGAAAACCAAGACAGTCCCAGAACGGACATCAAGGTGATTGGTGCGCCGTCGCCCACCTTGAACGACTAATCGCCACCCAGGAGGCGGTGCGGTGGGCAACACACGCTGCAGCTCAGTGTAGGCAAGTCGCGCCCGAGAGAGTCGAAGGAACTGGGGAGGCCCGGCTATCTGTCGAAAGTCCAACAGGACGACAGTTTCCTGCGATCCATCGCGGTTCTTCTCAACAACTGCAATGAGGCCACGCATATTGGAACCACGATAAGCAAGATTCTCAAGCAGGCCGTCAGGAGGCGCATGGAATGTAACTTCATCCCTTCTTACACCGACAAACTCAGCAGCAGCCTCATCGACAGGGCCACGGCCTTCAACGTGCCGAGAAAACATGTAACGCCCCGTGTGGTGCAGCAACATGACGGCCCTGGCAGGGTAGATGTGAGGGAAGGTGGGCCTAAACCCCAAGTCACGGTACCCACCTAGCCAATCCCGGAGGTTGCTGAAAACCGGGGGTGTCTCATGTGCCCGGACAAGGCGGATGACGTCGCCATTCTCTAACCAGATCTCCTCACCTTCAGGGATCGGGTCGGTTCGATTACCCAAAAAGAATCTGCAACCATCAGGCATAGAGAAGAGACCAGCTTCTCTCATCATGGCGGCAGTGCACGTGGGCCTGGTCAGGAAACAGGCGCTGACAGGACCCCTTTGAGCAGGTTGCATACTGCTCATATCAAGGATGACAGCAGTCAAACTTGCACGAGTAGTCCATTCCGGGTACACAAGGACCGTGGCGCAGCCGGGCCAAGTCCGAACTTCAGTGGCCAGAACACAGTCACTGAAGGCGAGGCGGAGAGGGCCAAGCCTTCTAGCGACATCACGCTCAAGGTCCCGAGTTTCGCATGGCATGCTCACTTCAACATCCAGGCATTCCGGAGTGAAAAAGGGGGCAATGACATATACACCCAGAATAGCAGTGGACGCCTCAACTCCAACGGGGCCCTCAAGGGGTCGAACTTCGGGTGGCAAGGGGTCAGGCCGATCATCGCCTCGAAACCACGGCCACCCATCGGAACTCATAACAGGACCCTGTGCCTGCTCTTCAAAGGCAGGCAACTGCATAGCACAGATAGGAGTCGGCAGGGCCATAAACAGCCACAGATACCAGCACGGGCTGAGCACCTTCTCAGTGCTAATCGCCTTCTCAATGCTAATCGCCTTCTCAAGGCTTCGACAGATAAATCGCGAAAGCCAAATTGACGGGGCAAGGCCTCGTTGGACTCCGTATAGGAAAAAAAAACCTTGTATGGCTTTGACAGATAAATCGCGAAAGCCAAATTGACGGGGCAAGGCCTCGTTGGACTCCGTATAGGAAAAAAAAACCTTGTATGGCTTTGACAGATAAATCGCGAAAGCCAAATTGACGGGGCAAGGCCTCGTTGGACTCCGTATAGGAAAAAAAAAACCTTGTATGGCTTTGACAGATAAATCGCGAAAACCAAATTGACGGGGCAAGGCCTCGTTGGACTCCGTATAGGAAAAAAAAAACCTTGTATGGCTTTGACAGATAAATCGCGAAAGCCAAATTGACGGGGCAAGGCCTCGTTGGACTCCGTATAGGAAAAAAAACCTTGTATGGCTTTGACAGATATAAACCCTGAAACCCACATTGACGGGGCAATGCCTCGATTAACTCGGTATACGAAAAAAACCTTGGAGATGGAAACACAAAGCATGTTATATCTGGCCATTGTGAATTGGGTTCTTGCCACAGTAGCATTTTTCTGGCTCCGCTTTCGAATCTCAAAGTATATAGGCCTGCTGCCATGGACACTGTATCAGGTATCGCTGTCTTCTGGGATAGAGTCTTTGCTTTCGCAGGCTCTTCTTATTTTTTGTCGATTATCCTCGATGAAGGGGACGACTATGATGGCAGGTGGAATGAGCACCTCAGTCTCATCGAACGCAGAAGCGAATACCTTTTGCATCTCTGGGGACCTTATCATGGAATGTTTGGTGTGGCTCCTGGTGCATATACTCCTTATGAACTTCGTTGGGACAATGTCATCCTGGAGGGCTGCAAGCTGGATTTTGTGTTCTTCCGTACCGTGACGGCTTTGTCTTCGTCATGCTTCATATCGCTGTCCGATTATTCCGTTCCTGCATCCTTGTACTATTCTGTCCTGGGTCCACGGAATGAAGCGGAAATGCATTTCAGTTCGCCGGCATTCGAAGAGTTGCAAGTCAGAGGGGCTGTTTGTGCCATAACATTCCCGCCCTGTGACCTCCATACGCTGGATTAATGTGATCTGTGCGGGAGACTTGTAGAAAATTTCCAGAGAAGACAAGATCGTCGGCAAACACGAAAACACGTTTCCCGTGCACAAGACTGGCTGATGGGTCCTTTTGCTTTCCATTAGGGCTGATTGCTTGCTGATGTGCTATCTTGTGCTGCAGGGGCTCGAGGGAGCTGGCTACACGGGAGACTATATAATGTGGTCATATATATATATATATACACATATATAGGAGAACGGCATGCCATGCGAATATAGTTCGGTATATCGGGCAGTGAAACCCCTCCGCATTCGTGCAGCATGGAGTACTTGAGACGCCGCTCCTTTGAGTTAGCTGAGAAGCTGAAGGGATCTTTGGCCTCTTCGACCGAGGATATAGAAAGGATCCGTCGAACGGGTGAGCTCCTGCCTACCAAATCCTTGAAGTATAAGGCGACTCGACAAGCCTTGTCCTGGGTTTCTTCATTGGGGCCCGCCCGCTATTTCACGGAAAAGAGGGTCAAACTGGCTCTTGAGATCTTACTTAAGGATTCCAACATAGAACTTCCTGAGTACCCTGGGTTTAAGCAGGAGGCCTGGATCCTGAACCAAGCAAAAAGCTTGACCGTAGCTTTGCAGCGAGCTCGAAAGAGCACCAGTGGCTGGGCCATGGACACCATGGAGACTCAGATGGAGTGGCCACAGGAGGACAGAACAATCGTTATACTTCGATCAACCGAAGTGACTGCACGTGGCCCCCGTATCTTTCCCAGGATGCTGAGACGGAGCTGGCTGGCGAGGGGGAGGATTGCTTCGAGTATAAATTCATGTAACCTGAATCTAATATCATCTCCATTTGAGGATGCCGAAATGTATCCGTGCCGGCGACTTCGAAAAAAGTCGTGCCGTGGTTCGGAACGAGCTCGTCAGAAAGCACTCCTGATCTCTGTGTGTGTGTGTGTGCATGCATTGTATATGTAGTTATCTGCTTGCCGAGAATCCAAGGACTGTTAATGTGTGTGCAACTGGGCGAATTCTAGTTTGGCGGTGGTGGATGACATGTGTGTGTGTGTGAGACAGTAGAAAATATATGGCTGCATATTGACATGTAAGGCACCTGGCTCCGAGGTTGCAGCTTATCAGAAATCGGATAAACCAAGTGTGCTTTGTCTTGATTGCTGGGGTCGCGAGTTACGGTGCATTTTCATATGAGAATAGAAGCTGAGGCAACTGAGACAGATGTTCGTGAGCCTGACGTCTGTGATGATGTGCCGAAGGAGAAGTTGGAAGTTTTGGTATAGTGAGTAGTATACTTCTAATAACGCCGGGATTTGTGGGTTTATGTAATAGCCGGGGCTTCGCAATATTTTGTACTTAAACTTCATAGGATAAAGGGGACCGGTGACCATACCCCTCGCCCGCCGCAGGATGATGATATGAAGACCAAGGATGCTCAAGATGACGACGGGGAGGCCAGTTGGGTTTGGAGTAATGGATCAACAGGTCTTCTTGAATTTTGGGGCACCGCTTGAGGTCATCGGCTGGTCGCCTGAAGAGCGAAGCATGATCATAAAAGATCTTTTGCAGCAATTCGAGGAGCATCGATCAGCTAACCTCCATATAGTGTATGTCATGTGCAATCTGAAGGACACTGAGAATGAGGAGCAACATGAAGACGAGCAGGCCGCTCGTTGTTTCGCTTCTCGCTGAAACCTTTCTGGTGGCCCTCACATTCATTGCATGTACAGGAGGAATGGTGGAGGAAAGCGCCGAAGGACCTCAGAGGGATATAACGTATATGATATTCTGGCAGTATTGATTTGCTTTCCATGCAGGAAGATGAAGCCCCGGAGGACTGGCCTGACGAGGATTCCGGATCTTTTGCGAAACTTCCCTTCCAACTTAATTATTAGTCGTGGACCATGCCTCATGCACGGGAGGAGTGGTGGCATGAAGCACCAGAGGACCTTTGAGGGGTATGCCCAAGCATTGCTGATGTTGTTTTTGTGCAGGAAGAGGACACTCAGCGGGAAAAGCCGGGCGAGGCTGAGGACTAGTAGCTTGTGCACGATGTACTAAACCATTCTTGATGCCCTTGTCGTGCAGGAAGATGAAAATCCGGTGGCAAAGCCGGGCGAGGCTTTGGGATGTTGTTTGAAGTTCGCCTTTGTTGTCGTGGACGATGCATTCACATGCAGGAGGAATGCTGGAACGATGAATGGGAGGACATTGGGCGGAGTCTGGTATTTTGGGGCGCTTTTTCCATGCAGGACGATGAAAAACCGGTGGACGACGCCGGCGAGGCTTTCGGGTGTTGCTTCACGTTTCGCTTGCCGCTTTGTCGTGGACCATGCATTGTATGCGAAGGAGGAATGGTGGGACGAAGAACCGTGGGAGGCCCTTGCATAGATAAGGCATTTTGCTTGGCATACACGGTTTCGTTTGGACTTTATATGCAGGAAGATGAAGCTCAGCTGGACTGGCCGGGTGAGGTTTGGGATCTTGTTCGCGACTGCAATTGTCTTGTAGCCTATATTGCATGCACAGGAAAAGTGGCAGGAAGAACCGGAGGACTTCGATGCTTTTTTTTATTGGCATTGTCGATTTCGGTGTCATGCAGGAAGATGAAGCTCCGGTGGACTCGCCGGGCGAGGCTTCGGGATATCTTGGTTCGTGCTTGTTGAAGCTGCTGCTGCTGCTGCTGATGTTGTGTTTTGCAGGCTCCGGTCGATGGGGGCGACGAGGAGTGGGCTGAGCCTGAGCATGGTAAGGATGAGCCGGGGGAGGAGGAAGGTGCCGAAACCTGGAAGGATCCGGAAAAAGAGGAGTGGGAGGAAGGTTGGGAGGAGGAGGATGGAAATTGGCAAGAGGACGCCGACCCTAGACTCAATTCAAGTTTGTGCAAACCTATCCCCACGCATTCAATATCTCAGCCCTGTGCCCAGAGATCAATGGCTAGGCCCTCAACCCTTATCCTTAAACCCTATTAATCTCGCTATACTAGTGCCCATAGCATCATTCGTCGACATGTAAAGCACCAACCGAGGCCAACGACTGGGATGACTTGGGCATCGAGCAGAAGCCGGACCGATGCATTGTCATTTCTCCTTGAAACCATACATTGTCCAACAACAACAGCATCAACATATGGCAAGGACCCCTCGGGAGATGATGCCCATGATGCTGCCGGGAAGAAGTGACTACGGCTGCAGCAATACTGTCTTTGGTTCGGTGTCGTTATTTTAGGGTTCAGGGTTGAGGGTTTTGTGGTATGCAGTGCTCACACTGCTTCAAGTCCGAGGAAACCTGTCGCCGACGAGCAGGACGACCCTGTGGATCCGGATCTCATCGTTGATGAGGCTCAAAGAAGCTTCGTGGAGG